CATGTAGATGGTTATCTTGTAAATTGAATGTTGCAATCTGTATCTTGTTAAAGAATAAACATGATTGTTTAATGTTTCTTGTTCCTAACATAAATACATAAATGAAGCACCGTAAGCATAGAACATTGACGTTATAAAGCCTCTTGGAAGCTCGCATACAAAACAGCCATCTTCTTTCACCTATGTACGGCTGGAACAGCCCAGACACGGTCCTCCTGTTTTCCACAGTCGGCCTACAAACCGATTCCACAGTCGGGCTGCAAACGGACCGCCGTTCGCTGCGTGTTGGCACGGTGCGACTATTATGCAAAGTGCGCCGACAATCCCAGCCGGTGCTAGTGTTGATCTCTGCGTCAGCCCTGCCCGCTCCGCGTTTGCCATTTTCCGGACTGGATCGAACAAACAACGCCGCCATCCACTGTGATTTGAGCCGGGAGGCTCACGAGTTGGAATGAGTTTTGGTAAAACGCGGAAGCACAAACACTTATACATGCCGTGCACAACTGCAAAGACGATAGCGTCACGCAGCAGCTGCTGGCTCTTACTTTAACCCGCGCCCGGCTGGGGGTCCTGGATTTCCACGCCCTGCTGGGGGGGGGGGGTGTTTGAACACCCCCCCTTCTAACTCGGCTCCTGGGCCACGTAGCGATACGCGGAAGGCGGCGTTCGAAAGAGCGTCAAAAATAATGAGGAAATCACTTCGGTCAATTTTTTGGTCAGGTCAAAGGTCAGGTCACCAGAGGTCATTGAAGGAAAAATTTCGCCGATTTCCAGGTCGAATGTCGACAATTTCCAAGAAGCCAGCGCATAACTCGGGAACCAATAGAGCTACAGCGCCGCGGAAAAGCGCATTCGATAGCCCTATTAACGCCCTTTCTGAGTAATTCTCTCAGATTTGACCTAACGTCAACGGTTTTGCCTGCAGGGGGCAAAAACTGCAAAAATAGCCGATTTTTTCGGAAACAGTTTTTCTGCAATAACTTTTGACCCAAGCCTTGTACGAGCTTACTTTTACCAGCATCGTGTTCCTCTCGTCAAGACGCATCGAATGAACTATAACTTGACCTTGAAAGGTCAACTTGAAAATTTGACCTCAGGTCAAGGTCATGACCTGACCGGAAAGGGTCATGTTGCATATCAGTCGATCCGTATCGTCGAGCTGAACACATCTAGGGCGTTTTCATCGCTCTAGCATGCCGCTATCAAAAGTTATTTGCGAAAAACTGTTAGATACCATTCGTGACCTAAGATGACCTCAGGGCATAAACAGGGGTCACGGACACCATTTCCATGTTCAGTGTGTCTAAACCACTTGTAATTCAGTGTTTGGGAGTGTTTATAATGTCTTTCGTCCAAAAGAGGCGCATTTCAATTTTCTCCCATTGACTTATAATGGGGAGGTCGCAAAATTGACCTGACCTTAGGTCATCGATATCAAAATTCTGAGATATACATTTTGTACATGCTATTGCTCTTAGCAATCGCTGAAAGTTTCAAAGCGATCGGTCACTCGGTGTAGCTATGACAGGCATTGAAACTTTTTATGAGGTGAGGTCACTTCAAGTGACCTGGTGACCTGACCTTGAATGACCTTGGTCTGAAATTTTCACAACATGTGTAGAATTGATGTATGATAAGGTGTACCAAAAACGGCGGCGCTCCGCGCCGCCGTTTTTGAGATATTCGCGAAAAACCACAAGGGGGGTGTTCAAACACCCCCCCCCCCAGCAGGGCGCGGGTTAAAAGTTGTTACAAAACTGTGTTTTTCCAAATAATTTGCTAGCCATCGTACCCTTTGACGTTGCATCGAGCAGCGCTCACACACCGGCCGTAGATTCCTCCTCGTAAAACTTAATTGCAGTGCCCGTGTTGCCAAGCGATCGAGACGAGTTCCCGCGAGGGCGACCGCCGTTTTCTCCGAAACGACATTGTGGAAATCGCCACTCAGGCGAATCGCCGCCAGCGGCTGGGTTCATCAGCTCGGGGAATAACCGTCTCCGCCGTACGGTTCATCAGAATCACCGTCGCACTACGTTCATCACCTCGGACGATCAACGACGTCGACAACGACGACGACGACGACGGCGTCGATGTGGTGTCGGCGGCGGGTTCTCGGTCAACAGGCCGTCGTCGGCAGGTGTCGACTGGGGGCGTGGTCCGACTGGCCAGGCATCGATCACGCCCATCATCGGCGAGACCGTCGCCGGCGACGACCCCTCTGTCGCCGACGACGAACCGTCATCTGACTGTCACATAGTGGAAATCTGACAGACATCAGGCGTTCTCTGCCACCGATCGGCCGCTGCAGCCGCTGCATTGAGGAGAGTGAGAGTGCAATGGAGAGTATAAGAAAAAGAGTAGTGCTAGAACGCATGAACAGGATGGGGAGAGCAAGTAGAGTTAGGAAGGGCCATTAACAAAATATCAGACTGGAACAATAAGCTTAGTTTGACGGGAGATTATCCGTAGTCATGTTCACTGATTTTGTATTTTAACTGTATGTTTTTTGAAGATACAGTTTATGAGGTCAAGAGAGGAGTTATAAATTATAATCAGGTTTGATGCGAACTGCAGGCTGTTTGTATTGTTTCTCAGCTGTGCCACGGAATGTCCTCGACAAAAGAGTCCCCAGATTTCCTCTACCACTTCCTTTGTGTGTGATGACGAACCCTGTATAACAGCTCGTCACATAGCATGCTGGCAAGGTGGACACGCACTATACATAAAACCATTACAAAAACACCACGCAATAAACAACACAGCACACGAGTGCCAACACATCATACCCCCACACACCATGCCACCATCCCTCCCCTCCCCTCCCTCCTCGTACCCCACCTCAGCGCCCATCAGACGGTCGGGCCGGGCGCACCTGCAGATGGAATCGGCGGCTGGCGTGCCGACGGTGCCGCATGTAATCAATATGGGAGCAGGCCGCGGGCCATCGCCGGCCCGCCGATCGGACTGCATTGAAAACACGCCGGCCCAGATCGCTCCCGGGTGATATCGAGTCGGGGACAGCAGCAGCGGCCGCGCAGGGACGCTGATCTCCACAGGCCGGACGGCGGAATTGAAACCAACCGCGGTGATTCTGCTGGTCAGATTAGGGCGAACGCTGTGGGTCCCGACCTGACTTATAAATACGTTCTTATCTTTTTTTACTATACAACGAAGTGCGGGGTTATGAGCACACAATGTGGATACCAACTGGATGCCCAATGGGCATTGCCAGTTTTTTTTTTTTTTGCTGCATTTTGTTCTTTCCAGCATTTAGGTGACTTTTCAGGTATTCAATAATTATTTTAGGGCTGGCTAGTTCTGTAATGTGGGTGCTGCAGGGGAATTACTATTGTAACGAATGGTTTTAAAGAAAGGCTTTCGGACGAATGCTGAAACTTTCTCACACCAGCCGGATCTGCATACCATTTGCATGGTATTTCCAGACCAGGCGCTCATCCTGTTGCTGGTATTTGACCAGTACAATGTAATGCCTAATGCTGCATACATTTGCTCGATTTCAGCGGTGTTCTTTCCCTTTGTCTGAATACCTAGGTATCTATTTTTAACTGAGTTTTTTAGCAGCTTGAAATGATGGCAATGCCATCCGGCAACAGTCACAGTTTCTGATGCGCAGGCAATGCTCAAGTTTCTCCCTCCTTCTCAAAGGAATATTGGCGGATGGCCTTACGTCAAGCAGAACCTGACGATACACTGTCCACTGGATAAATTTAGCCACAAAACAAACCTAAACAGACGTCGACGAAAAGTTCTCCGGTTTTCCCCTTAGTGGCACAAACTTTGGGTCAACAAATTTAACTTATCCAGCAGTTCAAAAATTAGTTGAGAAGGCAAATAGGTACGTGTAATACGTTGTGTTCGGGCTTGTCTTAGGGACGCGATACTATACGAATTTGTTGTTATGTAATCAATGTAGAAACTGTCATACATTTTGTCGGAATGCGATACAAATAATCAAAGGCAAAGCAGAATTATTCATGTCGGGTAATCCTAATTATTAATGATTTTAATCGGTTATAGGAAATACTTGGTGGTCTTACGGGGCACCAGCAACGAGGTGATTGGGGGAGTTATTGTAAGTGCGACAGTACATTTGTAGTTATAGCAAAACTCGATTTAGTTGGCCTAGGTATAATCCATAACTTGACTTTTAGAAGCATAACAAAGGCATTGCCCATATTCAGCTTCGAAAGTAATATGTAAATACTCACCTTGTGCGTTACCGTGCGCCGTATATACTAGAGCCTCGTGAAAAATGCTATGTAAACGCGACTATTGCGGCATTTGCTGGTTTTCCAGGCGGCAGCCTGAACCGTTCGGGGACACAGCTATTCGAACTGCTGCTCGAGTCCGTGGGTCAAGGACGATATGCTCGGGGCCACTGAGATATGCCGGGGGCGTCATTGACACGACCGGTCACCACTGCAGGGGTAGGGGTAGGATGTTAGCTGACATTACTCTAGTTAGTTAAGTCAAATCTTGGGAGGTTCTACGTGTATGGAAGGTAAAGGATGGTAGCCAAAATATAAACTTCCAAACTCGTTTGTCATGTTTTTTTTTCTGAGGACCTGATTATCTTGCGTCCTTCAGCCTCCTTGCAATGATTGCCTACATAGTTTGAAAATGAATTGATGGTGCAGCACATTATGTAGTATGTACTTATATTTTTCAATACCTATTACGAAATGGATGGCAATGTTTTACCTAAACATGACTTCGCACGTCAATATTCGTTTCAGTGTAAAACCATTGGGACAGGTTGAAGTCCGTAAGATAGCCCTTGAACCGGCGCCGTGCTCGCGGCCCGTCTGTGGTCCGACTGTGTGCGAATGTGTGCGCGCTGGCGGCGCCGGGTCGGCGCTGCACACGACCATTGATTGGAGACGGGACCGGCGGGCGGCGGCGGCGGCGGCGGCGGCGGCCCGGGCGGTGGGCGGCCGGCTCGGGCGGCGGCCGACCGCCAGTGTCGCACCATGCGCCCGCCGAGCGGGAGTCGCCGCCGGCAGTGTCCGTGACCGGTCAGCTCGGAGTCAGTGCGCCGGGCCGCCATGGGCGGCGGTAAGCCGCTGCAGTGGGTGCTGCGCCGCGGCCGGCCCGGCCGGCGGCCCACCGCCGGCAGCGGCACGGCCAGCGGCGGCAGCACGCCGCCGCCGGGAACCATCAAACCCTTCACACAGGCCTCGCTGGAACGGCTCGAGACCAGGACGGCCGAGGCCCGCAAGCACTTTGGCGTGCTGCCGCGCCGCAACGCGCGCCTGCAGGATGGCTCTGTGCTGCCCACCAAGTTCTCGCCGTTCCCGACTCACATGTACGGCCGGCCGCTGGAGGAATTCGACCAGTTCATATTCGAGGAGGTGAGTGGCCCTCGGCGGCCTCGAGGGGTGCCGGGTGGGACACTGAGTGACCCCGGCGAGTGTGTCTGAATAGACAGGGGGGTGGCAGATGGGGATAGGCTGCTTTTACACAGGAATTGATATCAGCGTCTTCATGCTACTCGTATGCATTCGCTGCCTTTGATGTCGCAGGAAAATGCAGAGTGCACGGCAGCTCCACATTCTACTAGGAAAGACGAGGAGTTTGATAGTGATAGATCTGGTTACACGATTTGCATCATGTCATAGGTTTGTAGCAGTATGTGGATGACTTTTATCAAGTTGATCTTCATTTATTGGGCCCCGTAAGATCAATGACCTAGCGAAAATCATGCTGATTGTGTCATCAGTGAATTAGCTATGAACTCAATCTATGGACCTTGTAAACCTGGGGTCATGGTACCGGGTTTCTTCCACAAACTGTCCGGTGCTAGTTTGTTCTGAGTCCACAATGATCGTTTGATCCCCTGGCAAATCATCAACAATGTAGAAAATGCACAGTATTACATACCTATGCCATACTGTTTCCAAATATCATCAGTATGTGTAATAGAGTCAGCCATATTCTGGGAATCATTTCCTATTGATCAGCCCCCTTTTATTCTTGTTTGACAGTCAATGCGTGGGTGTCGCTATATTTTGAGCCGTGTATGCCTTACCGACGCTATGTGAGTTGGCGCTGGGCAAATACGCGACATGGTTAGAAGGCGCTGGCCAATGGAGGCTTTCACTTTCCAGTGTGTCTTGAGCACTGTTCCTGAAATCAACGACAATTGCCTCGACTATTGTTGTATCAGTAGGCAATCTCTTGTTTCCTTTTATTTACGTACTTATATCGTCCTTTTGATGCATGACCATAATGGCATGGATTTCAGAGTTGAATGGAATATTTCAGGCGAGCGGAGCCGGGTATACCCGCGGTCAGAAATATTCTAAGCGGGCTTGAGACGGGTACGACCTGAGGTCAGAGGTGGAGGTTGGGTACGAGGTGCAGTTAGGGGAGAGTTCACGTTACAAGCCAGGTGATAACAGAGCGTAGAATGGGCCGTGTCCGGCTACTGGAATGCTAAACACTCGACTCTAAATTCTGATGTGAACCTGAAATTTCCCTCTTGGGCAGTAAAGATTAGAACCTGTGCTGCAAAACCCGCTTAGGTGGTTCCGGCTTCGGTTATCTGTCCATTTAACTTGTAAAAATGCTCCGACAATTGAAAAGGAGTTTGAAAGGCTATTGGCATGCTAACTACACTATGGTAGAAAGAAGAGTGGTGATTGAATTCAGTTTTGCAATGTAGCCACTCGGTAATACGATAAGCCGCCCGAACTTGTTCGTTTTGTCGCTTTGGAGTTCAATGAATACTTTAGGGACGTAACACATTGTTGCATTTTCTTCCTTTGAAACGTATGACGGTAAAGGAGAGCTACATTATCGCATTAGCAAGTAAAGTACAACTGCCATTCATTAATTATCTGTCCCTTCCTGACGTGACATTATTTTTTGTGATAGTAGGTATTTTCGCGTCACCATCGAGGCGAGCTCAAGCTAGTCTCACTTACAATTGCATCATGCGATTTCTACTTATCTTTAACGAAAACTTTTTAATTTGGTAATACTAGTTGGAAACTGATGTTTTCACCGGTTTTATTGATGCAGTTATATGAAACAAAGTCTAGATCGTCTCATGTGATCACCTTGCCTATCTACGTTTGTGTTTACATGAAACCAAACTAGCCCTACCAAATAAGTTACTATATAATACCATGGATGATTATCTCATCCACGATAATACTATAACTATAGTATAAGTATACTATATTATACTAGCACTACCAAATACATACAATAAGCCGACCCTCCTACATCCAAGTAATCCTGCAGTACGTATGAATTCAGGTATTGAAACGTTGAATTGAGCATTGTTGATAAGATTATCAGGAGTATGAAAAATAACCTCTTGCTCATATCTGAAGGAATTAACCCATTAATGCCGGAATTTTTATTTTTTGATTTTTAAGTTGTCCTTCACAAATGTTAGCCACATGGGTCCTAGAAAGAAAACTGTGCAAGCTTTAAAAAATTGTTCCATCGGTTCTCGAGTTATAAGCATGGGTCATAAATGACCCAACCGGCATTAGTATAGTCACAAATAAGGAGTCATCACGAAAACCGATTTATCTAGATACCATATTGTGTATACAGGGTGTCCGGAAAGTCCTGGCGCTTCTTTTGGACGCCGTGTAACGCGCGCTGTGATTATTGGACATTCAGCCAATCATCACAGACATGACCCCTCGTTGATTGCTCAGCCAGGGGTCGTGTAAATATGACCTTGAAATCGTTTTCAGTGATGGGTAGATGGGCGAAGATGCGCCTTGTCGCTGAATGCCTGCGCGCGGCGGCCGGGTGCGACTTGAACGAGGCGCGAGTTGCAGCGCGATGCGGCGTTTTTCGATGAATGGTTTAGCAGGTAAAGGTTTATTTCGACTCGGGAATTCCTTAAAAAATATCCTCAGACCGTTTCGAACGCGATATGGGAACGGAGCAGCATTTCAGCGCGGCAATCGAAGAAAGTGCGGGGGTCTGATGGACAAAAATGTCCCATCATCTTCGTCAATGTCGAATAAATGAATAACAGGCTGGCCCACGAGGGGTTCCTGGACAGCCACATCAACCCGAGGGTCAAGACGACATGCCCTAAGGGTCACTTCGCATTTCAACAGCACAGAGCACCCTCCAACAACGCCGCCGCCATTCAAGCTAAACTGACAGAGGAGCTTGCCGGGCCAGATCACCGTGGCGAAATGAGATTAGGCCGCCTTATTCTCCTAACCTGACCCGCTCGACTAAGGCGTGCTACGCGTTTTGTAGAACAGGATCTAGGCCATTTCTCACCACAACCTGGAGTCGCTGAAGACTCGCATCATGACAGCATGGGAGGACCTGGAAATGCCCCGCATCGTCAAAACCCGCAGACGCTTCCTCCGTCGTCGAGGCCGTCGTCGGCGCCGACGGTGGTTACATTGAATGAGCACGTAGCGGAAGCATGTGGCTTGGTGTCCCTGGTCATTGTTTTGATCCATTGATTAGTATCTATGAACCAATGGCATTTGTTTTAGAAAATGTTGAAAAGCGCCAGAACTATCCGGACACCCTGTACTGTATAGCGGTTTCAGCCAATCAATATTAAGGCACTGCATTGCAATGCTTTGCAACGTCTCATTTGCGAGGCCGGTGGTGCTCCTGCTAGGCCTCTGGTGCCCCTGATGACACTGTCAGGGGCACCATAGGCCTGACAGGGCTATGGTGTCCCTGGAAGGACTGTGGTGCCCCTAGGCCCTGGCAAGCCTGAGGTGCCCCTGACAGGCTTGTGGTGCCCTTGGCAGTCCCGCGGTGCCCTTGCTAGGCCTGTGGTGCACCTGGCGGGACTGTGGTGCCCCAGGCGGGCCTGTGGTGCCCCTGCTAGGCCGTTGGTGCCCCTGGACCCTGGCAGGACTGTTGTGCCCCTGACAAGCTTGAAGTGCCCCCGACAGGCCATGGAGCACTTGACAAGCCCAAGGTGTCTCTGCGAGGCCTGTGGTGCCCCTGCGAGGCCGGTGCGTGCCCCTGCGAGGCCGATGGTGCCCCTGGCAGGCCTGCCTCTGGTGCCCTGGCAGGTCTGTGGTGCCCCCTGGCAAACCTTTGGTGCTCTTGTTAGGCCGATGGTGCTCCTGCGGGCCTGTGATGACTCTAACAAGCCTTTGGTACCCCTGACAGGCCCGTGGTGTCCCTGCTAGGCCTGTGGTGCGCCTGCCAGGCCTGTGGTGCCCCTGTCAGGCCTGTGGTGTCCCTGTCAGGCCTGTGGTGCCCCTGTCAGGCCTGTGATGCCCCTGCTAGGTCGGTGGTGCCCCCGGGCCCCAAGGGGGGTCATGAGTGACCCATGTGAACCCCCTCCTTTGGATCCGCCACTGTGATCTGATCACAACCCCTAGAAATAAATAATCGTTTAATCATCAGTTGCTTTCATTGTATTCAACATACGAGTAAATTGATAACACTATTGCCGGTTGGGTCATTTATGACCCAAGCATATTTATCGAGAAAAAAAAGTTATCCGAGGACGACAAGAAGGGCAAAAACACACGTCATGCCCTTTTCAGACAAATTTAGATGGCAGTTAGACGATCATTGAACAGAAAGTAAAGTGAAAACATAATGTAATATTACTTTTTGGGACGGCGCGCCATTGCCAGTGACCGGCGGCTGTGCAGTCCCGTCGTCTTTTGCTCCAGAAACTTCAGCGGACCAGCTCACACCAGTTTTATGCGGCTCCGACGCTCGTCACTAAACCCACGAATCCAACAAAACACACGCGCTTGTTCCTCAAAGTGTCACGTGCCTCAGTTGAGAAGAAACATTAAGATTTTGTTTTTGGGTCATATATGACCCAAGCGGCATTAATGGGTTAAAAATCTATCATACTATCACTATCATACTCCTGATAGTACGTATGAATGTGAAACACCCACAACCATATCGGACTCATGTATGGGCTGCAGAGTGCAGAGTATACTGCAGTGTTGTTAACATCACATCACAATATTTCACTTTCAAACAATGCACTGCACCTTGGACGTTGCAATTTGTGTATGCGAGGTCCTGGTAACGCGGCAAAAGCGTCCCAGAAAGAGCCCCTGTTTTTATACCGGTGACGATTCTTTCCGGCTCCACATCTCTGTATGTCCGCAGCCGCTTCCCGCAGTGACCATTGGGAGAAGGGCGCTCGTACCCGGCGCCCCAGGCAATTCCGGCCGCCCTGTCCAACACCGGTCCGACCCATTCCAGGTCCTGACGAGTCGGTCGGCGCTGTGTCCGATACGAATTGAAGACGCGGCCGCTCGCCGCGCGTCCGGGTCGACAGTGCCCGATGGGAAAATAACCACCGAATTCCGGCTCTGCCCCGGAGGATAGACCCGAGGGACTGCGCAGTGTCAGATGCGGCTGT